TGATTCTTGGTATCATACGAAATACGAACAAAGTTTTTATAACATGTGGCATGATATCTTGCTTTACTGGACATTAAATCTTTAGAGCAGATTCCAATTATTTCTGTAGCAACAGCACTTTGCCCGCTGGATTGCTGAACATGTAAAATAGCACAATTTTTCACTTTCTCGTCAGCACGAAAATCCTGAACGCTGTGCAGTTTTTCCCTTGTTTTCGTGTTTGGCTTGTACTTCGATTTCTTGCAAAATATGCATTGGTCAGGTAGTATAACTGAGCTTGACTGACCATCTCTCGAGCTCCTTCTGGTCGAATCATCGCTATGATCAACATTTCCAGCAGCCTCGTTTCAAAGTGAACTCAGCTCTGCACGACCGATGATACTTGACACATATTTCTGGAAAAATTCCTTCGTTTTGGGAAATATCTAGAATTTTTTCATGGTTTCGGATAACAGCAGCTTGATATAACGTTGACCAAGAGCTTTAATCTTTACATTGGGTTAAGTTTGTTCCACTACACCCACAAATTACACAAACGTCAGTCATTTTCCTTTATTTTTGGACAATTATTTGGTTGTTTTACATCAAAAATTGTAAGTATCGCCGCCATCTTGAGTTTTTCCGATAATTGGGGAATGGGACAGAGTACAAGAAATAGCCGTTTTTGTTAAATTTTAGCATTGTCTAGAGGTTGTCAAGGCATAATATTGAAAATATATGTGTTTATTTAGTAAAAAAACACACAGAGTATAGCTCTGAAATAATTTTATTCTACTTTTACAAAAGAAAACACCATGTTCATATACGTTTATCGGTTCAAACCGACATATAAACCAAGTGTGACGTCATTTTCAAAGCAATGTGAACATTATTGTAGTAGTAACAGTAACTATCATCTTTGAGCAACCTCGGATTTTGATAAAAAAGCGATGCAACTTGTTTGTGCAAAATTGTGCACTTTTAAAGCTTGCGCACAAAAACAAAATGGCGGCCAGAGAGAATCATAATCGCTATTCTTAATGTTTCAGATGGAAAGCTACCGATCTACACTTGCTATCATACATTTCTGAAAAGCGTAATAGACAATGATCAAATTGACATAGGTTTTAGTTGTTCCCATTGATTGAGCCATACTGGCCGATTTTCGGCCCATAGCTGATGGTCTATTACTGTCATGAGCATTGTCTGGTTCCCTTTCAAGCTGAACAAAAACTGGCCGATTATATTCATTCAGGTAGCTGTTAGCTTCCTCCAGTATACTCTGTCGCTCTACAGATTTGCAGGTACCCAGAACTTTCAATGGCAGTGAATGGTGGACATCAATATTGCTTTCGTCATCACTTTCAATATTAATACTATCATGTAAAACATGTGCACGGCCAACTTCGGGTTGTGTGAATTCCCACAAAACAGTGTACTCCTTCTTTTCAATTGAAATTGTACAATATGATGTACAACACAATTCACCAAGGTGAATATTTGCATCTTTTTTTATTAAACAATCCACATGGGTATCATTAATAGATGCTTTCACTCTGACAAAGTCAACTGACATGTCAGGAAAACATGGGATAGTCCAAGTGAACCATGAAGTGCCAACATCCACAATGGTTAATGCACTGATTCCTTTTTTAGGTACTTCTGGCACAGATACTTCTGGTGCAGATGTGTCTGGTGCTGATATCTAAAGAATAAGACAATCTCAATTATAATAAGCTGTAGCAGAGGAAATTTAGCAAAAGAATATCATTGCCCCAAGGGAAGAACTGTTTCTCCCTAGGAATTTCACATCTCTTCCCAAATCAAAATTAGTTTCATTGTTAATTGAAGTTGTGCTATCTCACCATTTGAAATACTTATGCAAATTGCTCAAGAAAATTTGAAGCTAATTAGCTGCTCGTCATATGGACTACAGTACAACTTTGCTACATTGGTTTAAAAGCAGGATAGAACTCATGAAATAATATTAACTTAATGACATTTTCTAAAAAGAAAAGAAAACATTTACATAATTTTCTCCAAACTTACAGATTGAAGATAGAGGAAATCATTTTCCTTATTTTTACTCTTCATGCAAATATTTCCAGCAGCCATCTCTTTGGCAAACTCTTTGTCCAGAACACTATATTGACATTCAGTTAAAGAAATGATATAAATTGGATAATAGTTTCATTAGATAATACAGTATATTGCATGATTTGTATTTACTGTTATGTGGCACAATGATTTACTGGTACCCATCTTTTAAAAATAGATTTGTCTGGTATCAGACAGAGTAAATATACAACAAAGTAGGGTACATTGTAGCTTAAAGGCCTAACAACAACTAAATTAAACACAGGATTGTAAATGAATGACATTAAAATTAGAATCCTACTACTGTAATGCTTTAATATGAATTTAAAATGGATACAGTCCACAAAAATGTTTAACTTCATCTCCTGGATCCTCAGTCCATGGGTTCAATGGCTGGACAGTCAACAATGTTGGGTTAAATACTGACTGGTGCTGGAAGACTGCCAGTGCCATTTGAAAGAGATCTTCATAAATCGCTGGTGAGTGGTTTTTCTTCCGTTCCTCGAACAGTTTCCCAGATTTTACAAAGGAAAATGCCCTGTGGATACCTATTCCTCTAACATTACTTAGATAATCACACCCAGCTGCAATGCAACCATGCACAAATTCTGTGTTTGTTGTATTTAGCCCAGAAAGAATGTTATTCAACTCGTACTCTCCATGACCAGTCATTCCAAGCTTAAAAATAACCTTAAAAGATATGAAATACACTCAATGTTGCTTTTGGTATAAAACGTGGGCCACAAGTCTCTAGCCTGGAACTTGGTCAGCAGGAAACAATGGGGCTTACAACTAGCTCTTATCATCTTATGCATGCAGCTTATTCAGGCACACTTAAGTGGCAGTCCCGCTAAGAGCGGTCCGATGACTTTGACTTCGGAAAATAGATTTCCTTTATTTTTTGTGTGTTGAAAGGCATTGGTATACAAGTGTCCAAAATAAATTTATTTTTTGAAAATTCTTTTTTATGGCTTCGCTAGACGCCGAAACTCATTTTACCCGTGCAGAGCTAATTTCAAGCAAAATCGAAGGTTGAATTTCGGTAAATTGAAGAGCCGCGCTGTGTCAAAACGCTTGACTATTTCCAAATTTCAACTAGATCAGCAAGTTAAGATACAATTCAGGTTCCCTGTTCCAAAAATAAAGAGCATTTGAATAAATTGTGAATAAACGACAGCGACTTGACGGCACACCGGTTTTTGCTTCTTGTTCGGTCTACAGAATTACACTAAAATCGAAGCCTGAGATCTCCAAATGGGGACCTAAAATTACGCTGAAATGTGCTTGGCTGTAATGATTTATACTTATTTTCAGAAGATCTGAAGAAAAACCTGCGGGTATCGTATATGGCGCGAGTTAAGATTTTCTGGAGCCCATAATCAATGATTTTTGTATAATTTATAGCTAATTAACATATTTCTTGAGAGGCGCTAAAAGTAAACAATTTTTCTTTCTGACTAACATATCTCAGATGAAAGAGACTACCACAGCTAGTAAAACCCTCTTTGTAAATATAGTCGTAATGTTCTTTTCCTGACACGCTGAGAGAGCTTTGATTTTGAATGTTATGCCACATTTATTCAGTCTGACCAGATTCATAAATGTCACGAACTTGTATATTTCAACAATATCAGTACCACAAATCAGAATTCAGAAAGACCGATTATTCTTTCCTTGATTTAGTTGATGGATTTAGTTGATTGATTTAAAAAACTATAAGTATAATAGAACATTCCATGAGTTTCCATTGCCCCTGTATAGGGCTAGAATTTTTATCAATATGTTCTATTTTTCTGTGGCGACGGCATATTAACAAAATACGACACAAAAATGTACATTCGAATTTATGAACGACATATCAGAATGTTATTTATGAAGTTTGAATTGAATTTACTTAACGCGAAATAAATACTAAAATAGGAATTTTCTATGCTGGGTTAGTAAAAGAAAAAGCATAATTTTAATTGTATGTAATTTCGATGAATACTATAAAACAATTATACGCATTGTTTATATAAATTAGCTAACATTTTCACATTTATTACGATTTACGATAGTAGCGACGTTTGTTTTAGCCATGTAAAGCCTGGTTCACATTTGCCTGCGGCATGCCTGCGACTGTATCATTATGCCTCTATTGCCGCCGAAATACCGGCAAAGTTGAACTCAAGTCAACTTTCCCGCCGATGTAACTGTGGCACTGGAGGCAATCGGTGAACAAATATTCACATAATTCACGTTTTAAGCTACCACCGGCATCGTCGCCGGACGTCGCAGGCACGTCGCAGGCATATATGTGAACCAGGCTTAACAAAATAAACTATAAGCATTCTGATCAGTTATTTAACAAAAATATCAAATTTTTGAATTTTAATTCACAAACTTTTGAAATTTATTCTCAGCTATGGAGCTCACGAATATATTTTTTTCAAAGAAAAAAATTGAAATTCGATTATTTATAAAATTGATATTTTTGTTAAATAACTGATCTCTTGCTTATAGTTTATTTTGTTACATTAACATGGCTAAAACAAACGTCGCTGCGATCGTAATAAATGTGAAAATGTTAGAGCTAATTTATATAAACAATGGGTATAACTTTTTATAGTATTCATCGAAATTACATACAATTAAAATTATGCTTTTTCTTTTACTAACCCAGCATAGAAAATTCCTATTTTAGTATTTATTTCGCGTTAAGTAAATTCAATTCAAACTTCATAAATAACATTCTGATATGTCGGTCATAATTTCGAATGTACATTTTTGTGTCGTATTTTGTTATGCCGTCGGCACAGAAAAATAGAACATATTGATAAAAATTCTAGGCCTAGGGCTAGGGGGAATGGAAACACGTGGAATATTCTATTATACTTATAGTTTTTTAAATCAGTCAACTAAATCAATCAACTGAATCAAGGAAAGAATAATCGGTCTTTCTGAATTCTGGTATATTTAGTTTGAAATATACAAGTTCGTGACATTTATGAATCTGGTCAGACTGAATAAATGTGGCATAACATTCAAAAACAAAGCTCTTTCAGCGTGTCAGGAAAAGAACATTACGACTATATTTACAAAAAGGGTTTTACTAGCTGTGGTAGTTTCTTTCATTTGAGATATGTTAGTCAGAAAGAAATTGTTTACTTTTAGCGCCTCTCAAGAAATATGTTACTTAGCTATAAATTATGCAAAATCGTTGATTATGGGCTCCAGAAAATCTTAACTCGCGCCAAATACAGATTGATACTCGCAGGTTTTTCTTCAGATCTTCTGAAAATAAGTATAAATCATTACAGCCAAGCACATTTTGGCGTAATTGTAGGTCCCCATTTGGAGATCTCAGGCTTCGATTTTAGTGTAATTTTGTAGACCGAACAAGAAGCAAAAACCGGTGTGCCGTCAAGTTGCTGTCGTTTATTCACGATTTATTCAAATGCTCTTATTTTTTGGAACAGGGAACCTGAATTGTATCTTAACTTGTTGATCTAGTTGAAATTTGGAAATAGTCAGGCGTTTTGACTCAGCGCGGTTCTACAATTTACCGAAATTCAACCTTCTATTTTGCTTGAAATTAGCTCTGCAAGGGTAAAATGAGTTTCGGCGTCAAGCGAAGCCATAAAAAAGAAGTCAAAGTCATCGGACCGCTCTTAGCGGGACTGCCATTTAAATATTAATACAGATAAAGAATAGGTAATAACATATTAGTTACAACAAATTATATACTACGATTTTAATCGTGACTATAAAAGTACTGAACGTTTACACGCTGCAATTAACCCACCATGCAGATTACAATTTACTAAAAAGTACAAAGTATCCTTAAAAAATACTTGAAGTGAAAATTAAAAGTAAAGTACTATTGTCTGTAGCGTGTAGGGGGAGGGGGATCTTCTCCAATGGATTAACTTTCAAGAGACACAAAACAACACATGCATTATATGCGTGCACCTAATATATACAATATTTCACGACATCATGTACTTTCCGGACCCCGTTGAAGGTATAAGAAATCCATTAATTAAATAGATAATGCTTATAAGTAAGCCACAAACGAGCGATCCCAGACGCATGTATATATAAGTCCCATTACCCATCCCAAAATTAAGATAATTCCGAAATAAATCACGTAAAATTAAACAAAAGTTAGAAAGTACCGAAATACTTCGCGACAAAATGAAAATAACGAAGTAAAACTTTACTTCTTAAAACGACTTCGTTCCAAGTAAAAGTACTCCAGAAAAAGTATACTTAATACTTTGTTACATGCTGACTTCTCAAAAATAATATTCAAGTACAGTAACGAAGTACATTTACTTCGTTACCTGACACCACCCATATGATCACAGTTTGATTAGTTATGCTTGACAAGAACGTCAATATTAGAATAACGAGACTATTCCGGGCCGGGCGGATATATACAGGGTATCACAAAAAGATAATCGAACTTCAACGCGCTATTACATCTGAATTATTCTGCGTATGACAAAGAATTTTTCATATTTGGAAAGACTAGACTTTTAGTAGTTGAATGATATTTTCTTCATGTCAAATAGATAAAAAATGAGCACTGACATGTTAATACGAATCCGATAGAAAAATGTTATAGTCAGAATCGCATATTTTCACCGTTGAGAGTTGGGTCTAAAACCATTTAAAATTAACCCCCTTTATGACTAAAATTGGTAAATTGCACTTCAATAAACCACGCAAATATTCATAATTATTATCATGTAAAGAAAAACATGTTAGGTCTACTTTATACGTCGAATTTTGGTCGCGTCGAATGCTATTAAGACAATACATAATGAAATGACAAAACTCATTAAGTTTCATTATCTATTGTTTGAATTGCAATCGACCTGACCGAAATTCGACAGAAACAGACCAAAGCTAATCTATGACAAGTTCGTGATTAATTGCTTTTTCGAATTGTTTTGTCATGCACTGCTTTAAGTAGGGACAGAGGTGAAAATATACGATTCTGACAAACATTTTTTTATCGGACTCGTTCTAGCTTGCTTATTTTTTCTCCACTTAACCTGAGTATCAGGCTCTCGGTATTGAAGAGAGCCTGACACAATTCGCCTCTACGGGCTTTCCACCCCCAGAATATCAGCCAATTAAAATTATTTCCGGTTGTAGCATATTTCCGGTTGTCCGCTACAGGTATGTAAATACGCAAATTTCGTTATTTGCAGTTTTGTATAAATTTGAATAAATACGGAGAAAAATCGGTATGTTTTTGTCGAAATATCCACATGATGGAATTCTAAGCGTAAACTATGCCTCATTCGGGGAACCATAGCTCGATGGCTTTTTCCAGGAGTCTAAAGAGACAACATTCGGCGCTCTGAATAGGATTTCTTCTTCCTCGGTCCTCGTGTCATGTTAATAGTTCGAGACAGCTATTCGCTTCAACTGCGTCTGACACAGCGGCTATTGTCTTCAATTTCTGCCTGATGTTGGCATATTAGTTCGAGCGAGCTGACTACTATATCCTTGCAGGTCTTGGAAAACAGCTCGGCAATAAACTGATAAATAAGGCTTCAGCTTTTTGGAACTAAATATTTGAAAATTTCCGACATCCACATATTTTCGTTCTACGGCGACTATTACGGCGAGATATTTAGACACGCTTTCTACTATGACTATGTAGTTTTAGTTTTATACCGAGTAAAATGTTGCTGCAAAAGCGTTTTCAACGTCTTTTCGTACTTATTTTGTCATTTTTAGGCTTAATTAATTGAAAATAAATTTCAGAAATAAAGCACTTTTAACAGTATATTGACAAAATTACAAATTCTATTTTTGGTGTTTACATACGCCGGTCATATATTTCCGGTTTGAATCACATGATGCGTTTTATCGTCTCTTAGCCAATCAGCATAACATCCAGATTCTGGATGTTGAACATGGCTTTTGAGGCGTTTCGTGTCAGGCCCTCTTTCAATACCGAGGGCCTGATACTCAGGTTATTCTCCACTTGGCATGAAAAACATGTATTTCAATAACTATAAAAAGCCTAATCTTTCCGAATATGAAAAACGTCTGTTCAGAAGCCGAGTAATTCACGTTCAATTGGGCGCTGAAGTTCGATTACCTTTTTTTATACACCCTGTATACATAACCAGAGTTATACCAGAGCCTGCACTTATCCACTTGGCATATAGTCTAGTTAATTTAACCATGGAGTATAAAGTCTTGGTCAAGTTAACCAGATAATAGGAAAAACAAGCAGGTTAATATAACCAGAATATTTGCCCAGGAATATTGAATTAACTGAAAAAGGATTATTTCTTTGTTAACCACGAAATTTTAACCAAAGAATTTTTAGAGTGTACAGCGGAATAGAATATTTAAACAGACGGATACATATTATAATGAAAAAGCTATAAATTTAATTCAAACATCATTAATAATTCATAAGCTTATAGGCAAATCATGTCAACCATAATATGTCACGTGCAGTGGCTTTAAACCTGATAAAACACTCTTAATTAGTATTCTTTATATAAAGAATACTAATAAGGCAGTATCTATTGTAGTCGTGTCCTCATTAGTATTCTTTAAATAAAGAATACTAATAAGACAGTATATCAATTGAATTTGTAGTCGTGTTTGAAGCCGTTTAATTAATAAACTCGAAGGTCTTGTTTTATTAGGTCTAAAGTCACTCGCCCTGGGCGCTCGTTGCTTTAAACCTAATAAGACACTCCTGCTCGTTTATTAAACAGTACTTATAAAATAGAAGGAAAGAGTATATAAAAGGTAATATGGATGGAGATTGGTAGAAATAAAACCCCAGGGAGTTTGTAGAGAATGCCAATCACCAATTTTACGAAGGTCGAGTACAAACTGAGCAGGGTTTCTTATCCAAAATAAACCAATTAATTCAGCTTTTCTTCGCTTCACCAAATATTAATAAATATTTGAGCTTTTTTTGAAATGATTTTGACAGAGTGATAGTGTCATCAAGCGAATTCCAGAATAGGGTCCCGCTTTGTCTTAGGGTCATTTTTCTAGTTTTGGTTCTTACTTGAGTGACATATATGTAGTTTGCTGGCAGTTCTGGTATTATATAGTTGTGAATTTCATCATTATGAACAAAGTATAGGTTTGGAAGATCGGTTGAAGAGTACGTGGGTAGTTAATGCATCTAAATTTAAAGGCTCCAGTTTGGCATTTATTTATGTCATAAACAGTCAATAATTTCAGCTTAAAAAAAAAGGGCTTTGTGTGATCTCTGAATCCAACGTTAGCAATTGTTTGTATCAGTACGTTTTTGCAGTTTAAAATTTTTTCCTAGATTTGTACTATATGTTTTAGCCCAGGTAATGTTACAATATTGTATTTATGGTAAAAACAAGCGTGCAGTATTGTGATCGACGTGCTGTGGCTGAAATTAAATTAATGACTTAATATTATTTATAACACCAATGGATTTTGACATTTTTAGAGAAACGCTATTGATATGTGGCTTCTAATCAAGATTTTCATGAATATGAACACCAAGGAATGTTATAGAACTAACCTGTTCGATCAGTTTGTTATCTACCTTAATATCATGCAGTTGTTTTTGTATAGTGCTTGTTTCTAGCAAAGAAAATAATACATTTAGTTTTCTTCAGAGTTAACGAAAGTTTGTTTGATTTAAACCAGGTGCAGTGGCGGCGCTAGGCCTCAGAATTTGGGGGGTGGGGGGATTTGAGGGGCAAACTCATATTTTTTGGGTGGTGGGGGGCATGATAGAATTTTTGAAAAGGTCTCCCCCCCCACAGGAGGGGCTAATACCGAAGGAATATCGCCCCCTTTAGGATATTCACCCCCCATATATGCGACGTGGTTTATTCAAATAATTTCGTGATACTTTCATCTTATTAGTGCCTTACACGTTTGAGAATTTAACTCTGCAAAATTAAACCTTTTATGTCTCTTTTGAAACGTATTATTGGAGTATTGGCAAGTTTTACCATTCAGAGATTTACAAACTAATCTTGAAACTGTAAAAAACAGTTTCATGTATGCGCGCATTCACTAATGAGTAAGGACAACTTATAAGCCATACATTTTCCGAAAAAAACTCCAAAACGCTTGTGTAGCCTTTAGTCGCTCTTAGTGACTAATAATATTTTTTCAGGGGGAGGGGCAAAATGGGGTGGGGGGCAAAAAATAATTGGTGGGGAGGGGGATATCCCCCTAGCCCCTCCCTCCCCCTTTGCTACTGACTAGGTGGCTATAACACTGAGCTCTTGGTTTGTAATCTGAATACATACATACATATACATACATACATCGCCTTTATTTAAAACACGGTAAACCTTAAGTAATATTACATAATAAAAATAGTCAAAAATATTTGGATTCACATAGTATATATATAAAAATATAACAAATATGGGGCTACTGTTTTACCAGGTTGCCGTGTGGGAGTCGGACAAAAGTTAAATAGCATTATTAGTTTTTAAAGATCTTTTAAAAGATGAAAGTGATAAAGATGATCCCACAGATTCAGGCAAGCTATTCCATAATGAAGCTCCACTATAACTAAACGAGCGCTTAAGATAATCCGTTCTAGGTTTAGGGAGAAACAGTTTGCCTTCAGAAGCTCTGAGACTATAGTGACTAACTCTAGTTACAAACAAATCTTGTAGATACATAGGTGTTAAATTGTTCGTGACTTTATACATGAGAATTGCTTTTTGCATTTTACGGTTAGTATATAAATTATTCCATCTAAGTTCTTCAAGTACAGAGCTAGATGAAGCATCATGGGAAGAACGTGTTATAACACGTGCGGCTCTATTTTGAAGTTTTGCAATTTATCACTCAATTTAGTAAGAATCAGTTTAGTAAGGTCTTTCCCTCACATATATAAGTTGGAAATATCATTCACATATATAAGTTGGAAATACCATTCACATATATTACGGTTGTACTTACATCCAATATGGTAAAAGTTGTAGGAAATTTCAACTGCCTTTTTTGAAGGCACATCCAGGGTAAGCTTACAGTTCAGATTGGCGCCATAGTTATCAGCGAATCCAGGGGAATGGACACGACCAATAGCACTGGCGGTGATTGATCTGGTCGGACACACACTCACTGCTGGAGGTAAACCGGTTGCTAGAAAAAATAATGATAGGAATATTCTATTTACACAGGATGTAGCAAAAAAGTGGAATATATCATTGGCATACCATTTTGTGATAGGTATTACTAGTGTATTTTATATATATAGATGTATTTTTCCATGCCAATAAATTGCACGAAGGGATGAAAGGCGCTATCCACAGGATGGTCATTCTTTCAAGTTTTCTAAAATTTTCCGTTTATTGGTATAACCTAGATAAAACTCTAGTATTTATAAATCAAAGTTTCTTTTCATTAATTGTATCCGATATCCGTACTAGATTTATCGCTTTTCAAGCATTTTTTTACAACGGTTCAAGAAATCACTACAGATATTCGACCTTCGCACAACTAGCAGTAGCGTAGCCAGCCCGACGATTTAGTCCGCTATACAAATATTATCGTGTTCATTGACTGTGAAAACAATCAATTTCTAAAGAAATGAATACTGATAATAATTTTGAATTTGCATAGCGGGACTAAATTGTCGGGCTGACTACGCCACTAACAACTAGCCCCAGTGAACATGCGCAGAATTATTTAAAGAAATAATTGGCAAAGTTGCAGATTTATTGGTAGAATTTCGAGACCAAGAAAAGGTTATAGGCCCACGAGAAATATTGCTTGAGTCAAACACATTTAAAAACTATTTAAACCAACAATTTGAGCCTTATTTTACCCCGAATGGTGTAATAATCACCAATTACTTTCGATTAATTATTACTTTTTTTAAGGTAACGAGTAAAAATTTTGAAGAAAGCAATTCCCGTCACTTCTGTGTACTTTTTATTTTTTTCCAAACTCGCCATATCTGGAAATTTTAGAAATAAATGGCTTTGAAGTTAAATGTCGTCGAGGGTTATAACTGGTCATGCAACTACACAGAAATTTCCCTACTTCAATTAAATAAAATGACAAATTCAATGCAACTCAATTATAATACTTGTTTTTTTAATGTGGCTTAGGTACATGTTGATACTGCTGTAGTCCAATTTTTTATCACCTAAGCAAAAAATAATATCGAGCACATATTATACGAGGACTCGAGCACATACTATACTTGACAAGGAGGTCAAAGAAAACTTGAACGATTACTTTGGAGAGTTATGTTGGGATAGAGACTATGAACAGCCAATGTTGATGGAGATAGATTCAATGACAATAAAAGCTCCCCAATTTAGCATAACCCAGGTCAAGAACGCTTTGTTGAAAATAAGGAAAACTGCAACAGGCCCTGATGAAATCCCATTTTGGGTATGGAAAGAAAACGCTGATGTATTTGCACCTGTTATAACCAAGATTTGGAATGAATCTCTCTCTACGTCCACATGGCCTACCTTTTGGAAAATTGCTCATATAGATCCTTTACCAAAAGTCGAGAACCCAAAGGAATACTGTGAATTTAGAGGTATAAACGTGGCCACTTTGGCCATTAATGAGACTAAAATCGACTCCTCAATTTTGGATGCAGAAATTCATATTGATAATTATACAATTGTTCGTTTTGATCGTAACAGATTTGGCGGTGGTGTGGCTCTATATATAAAAAATAATATACCACACACTGAGAGAAAAGATTTAGTCCCTGATAATTTAGAAATGACATGTGTGGAGATTACTAGGCAACATGGTAAGTCTCTTCTAATTGCTACCTGGTATCGACCACCTAATTCAGAGCTCGACATATTTTCCAACTTTGAATTGTTTCTTTTTAAGTGCGATATGGAAAATAAGGAATTAATCTTAGTTGGGGATCTAAACTGCGACGTTAA